CTGGCAGGTTCTGAATATAGCTGTGCACTGGAGGTCTCAGCTGCCACTTGTCCCTTGCCCTGACGATTGCAATGCCTGCTGGGTGCAGTAATGCTCCATTTTTTGTTTCTTCCGTCTCTCAGGCTGGATTCAGAAGGCATTGACTTGCTGATGAACCTCCTTCTGGTGAGTGTTAGAGCAGTCCAGGGGGATGGAAAAGGGATTTGCTGAAGTGAAGATACTCAGGCTGCTCTCCCACTGATTTTGGAGCAATGGTGTGTGCAGCGTTTGGAGACGCTGTCACCCACATGGCACACAAAATCGCTTGGGCACTCGGGTGTGCACAGGTGCCCAAACGTGCATGCACCCTGCGCGGGCGTCTCCGTGACCGCCGAGTGCCATCTCCCACGTGCAGACTGTCTGTAACGGCCTTTCTCTGGGGTTTTGTGCAGTACGAAGCCAAAGGGCGGATTTCGGCGGAGGCAGCCCTGCGGCACCCTTACTTCAAGAGCCTGGGAGAGCGGGTGCATCTCCTGCCCGACAGTAAGTGCTCGCCGTCCTCTTGCCTGGGGAATGGGGAGAAAAGAGTTTCTGCACAGGCCAAGGGGGGCAGGTGGTTTGCAGCCAGGTTTCTTTGGGTGCTCCTGCAGCAGGGTGGGGGCTTGGTGGCTGGCAGAGCAAGAAGCAATTTGGGTAGGACAAGGTAAAGTAGGAGTAGGAGCGAAGAGCTCTTATGAGGTGCAGTGCTGCACCTCCCAGCTCCAGGTTTGCAGACCCAGCTCAGTCACCTGGTCTGACCCCTCTCTCTCTGCCCCCTCTGCCTAGATGCATCCATCTTCTCCCTGAAGGAGATCCAGCTTCAAAAGGACCCTGGCTACCGAGGCTCAGCCTTCCAGCAGTCAGGTAGGACTGGGGAAAATCACGCTGACCTCTCCCAGATGGTGCCACGGACTGCGCTGGCTAAGAAAAAGCCAAACCTGCTCCCTGCTTTAGTCCACAGATTACCCCTGGGGCATCCTTGCTTGTCACCTAGGTGGTATCAAAGCCACATCTAGGTGCTCTGAGGCACAGCTCCCTCCTCTGTGAATGCCGTGGGCTTGTAATTTCCTAACCCAGGGCACCACAGGGCTCAGCTTCTCCGCGAAGTGCCACTCGCCATCTGACCTCTCTGACCCATCTCTCTCTCTCTCTTCCTCAGCCCGAGGGAAGAACAGGAGGCAGAGTATATTTTAAACCTGGATCTCGTGTTCCTCTTGTCACCATGGAGATCAAAGCACTGAAAAAGGAGATGGCGACACGCTCCCACCTGACCCACCGCGCAATTACTGACTCGAGCAAAAAAAAAAGCCCCTAGGCCCCCCCCTGCCTGTCCCCACACCCACAGCCCCTAACAGCTGCTGTCGATGGGTCTGTGGCCTTTTTTTCCCCCCTTGTTTTCATGTTGTACCCATCAGACGTAAGCTGCCACCCTCTGTGCAGGTGCTTTAGTGAGGAGCTGCCCCAGGAACTGCCCTGAGCGCAGGATGACGTGCTGCCCAAGGGAACCTGCCCCCGGCAGGGCGCTAAGCTGGGCACGGGGAGGTTTTCTGAGCAGAGGGTGGTATCTCCGAAGCTGAGCTGCGGATCGTGGCGTTTGACGACGGCAGGCTTTTCTGAAAATGTACCTTTTCTCAGACAACCGGCTCTGCACCACCTGCTTCTTGCAGAGACGCTTTGCAGCCACGTTACGAGTTTGGGGGCACGACCCAGCCTGACACTGGAGAGACTGCACCCAGAGCACAAAACACAGGGCAGCCCTCCCTTGCTTGCCCTTGCCTCTGCCTGCATAACCCCCTTTCCTCTGCCTGTCTTTGGTACCTGAATCCTCACAAGGATGGAGCAGCTGGGAGGAGGGGGCTTCTCACTGCTTCCCCAAGCATCTTCCCATCATTTTTCCAAATTCGGTCAGCTGGCTGCTGCCCAGGGCTGTCCTGAGCTGAGAGCAAGAGCTGGCTCAGCCCACCAGGGGTGCAGGTACCTGCTGGTGGGGCTGTGCAGAACCAGGGCCACATGAGCCCTTCAGCCAGCCTTTCCCAGGCACCAACAGAGCTGGGAGCCAAGGCTGCCACCTCCCCCAGCCCGCGACCCTCTCTGCCATCCTGCCAAGGGGCAGGATGGCGCTCCCCGCGGGGGTAAAACATCCCTCTCTCCGTCCCACTGCCGAGCCCAAGCTTGTGCAGCCTCTCCGTATCAAAGCGTTGCACACACCCACCTCGGTGCATTTCTACCCGGAGGAAGGGGGAGAGGTGCCAAACCTCCCACAGCTCAGCTGTGGGGGCCAGAAATAGACCCGGAGAGAAGCAAATCCTCCCTCAAACCTCATCGCCTGGCCTCTCTGTGTTTGTTGCTAACGCCAGATCGTACCAGCCCTGACTCGGATCGATGCCGAGGGACTGAGGTGCGTGCTCAGATCTGAGCGTGTGTTTCTGGCTGAGGACTGCTCCTGGTGTGTTTTCCCCTCCGTGCACTTCAGGAATGTGCCAAATCCATCCTGAGCGAAGAGGCTCTGCTGCACCTCTTGCCCACAGCCCCCAGAACCCAGCCTGAAACGTCTTCAAGTGTGTGAGCGTTGCAAGTCTCTCTACTGCATATTATTCACATCCTTTTCTTGGCTGTCCGGGATGACTATCCTCTCGCCCACTGGTCCTCCAGCCCATGGATGTGGCCAGGAGACTCTGGACGTGGCTGGGACTGTGCCCTGGTGCTGGGACTGACA